CGGCCGAAGCCCCCCGCCCCGGGTAGGTAGCGGTGCCCGGTGTGCGCCATGTCTCTCCCATACTGGAAATACTTTATTTTATTCCCAGAATAATTCATATTTCCAGTTACTTTAATCTGTACATCTCAGAAGTTCATATTCTGAAGTGTTTCATGTACGTTCATTTTTCTCTTGCAATGGATGACCCTCACCTCTTCTGTGTCCGCCAAAGCACTCTGAGGAAATCTGCGGAGGTTTCTGGATTAAGGTGAAATCTGTGTTTATCCTGTAAGTGTCAGGTGTTAAATACTGTGCCCACCCAACCCCGAGAGTCCCACGGGGTTTGTAGCTTGCCCGTCCGAGCACAGTTCTGCAGGGTGTGGTACCGCCGCTGGGGAGGGCTTGCCTCGGGAGGGGGACGCTGCCTGCCCAGGGCCTGCCTCGCCCTGGCACCTGGCACCCTGACTAACTGATTTCCGTAGTGATCGTCACCCCTCTCGGAGCAGACTTTAAAGAGATCATACTGTCTCTCAGAAACAGTAATAGAGACGTAATGTGGAAGATTGCTGAAAAGGTACTACCAAACAGGGAATGAAGTTGTGTCAGAGGACTGAGCTCTGTGGATGAGAAATTTTGGAGCATGAGCCAGTGCCTGTCCTTCAAATGCTTAAACGATTTGCTGCATGCTCGAGGTTGGTTGTATTCCCCAATACTTCATGGGCAGTAATTATTATAGGTCTGGCAAATTCTTTGCTAAACTTCTTTGACAAAAAGATAGGGCTCCAATGTAAAAAAAGAAATAAATGGCAGAATGCTATTTTCCAGTCACACACACTGAAGTGAAAACTTCAGTATCCAGTACTGAAAATAGGTTGTTTCCAGAAAAACCGATATTTAAAGAGGCCAGAACAGCTACTTATTTTCTCACAAGCAGTCATATGAACAGTATGCTCAGTGTGGAGCTAAGAGTCATTTGGAACAGGCTCGTTAAAAGCCTGCTGCTCCTGCTGGTCTCAGGGAATCAGTTTTGGAAGAGCTTTTCTAGCCTCCCGAATGGGAGAAGCCTCACAGAGTTTCCATATGTCAGATCAGACTGTCCTGCTGTTTGAGCTTCTGATTGTGCTTTCCCTGGCTGCAAGGTGCTCCGCTCCTGTACTTGACTGTTCATCTTGGCAGCCAAACAGTCAGTTGTAGATACAGATTTTGCAAATAAGCTGCATTTTTTTTCCTTATTAGGATTTTTTTTTTCCCCAATAAGGGAAAAAAAGATTTCTTTCCTCTTTCTGAGTTTGCCCCTTCCTCTGTCGCTTATTGAAATCTTGTGCTCTGATACTGTCTTTGGTAACCTGATCCTGAAATCCACAACCTTTGGTTAAAATAGGTGCTTTTGATGTCTCCAGGGTTTGCTTGTATTTGCTGGATAGATTTATTTATTATTGTTTTCCTGTTCTGAAAGCTGCTTTGTTTGTTTTCAGCAGTGCTGAACCCATTCCAGGTTGTCTTGTTTGTGTTTTTGAAAGAGGCAGAAAAGCAGTTATCAATTCTGGGTTACAGAGGAAAAAGCAGAGAAAGAAAAATTAAGTAAATTCCAAACAACGAAGAGCCACAACTAAATTTTAGTGAATTCTAATTACATCACATATTGTCTTAAAAGTTCAGCATTGCAGACTCAAAGGTGGTTTCCAGCCCTTCTGTACCCCATCGTGTTTTGTGCACCAGTGTGTGGCGGTGGGAGAGGGTTCCCATCTGGGAGCAGATGCTTCCTCTTACTCTGTACCTGAGAGTGCAACTTTTCCTCTTTGTTCGCAGAAATAAAATAAAAGCAGAAGTTGTACTCTCGTGCAGCACGGATCAGCCTTCCCTTTAATGAAGCCCACTTGAAATTGGGTTTTTAATACGTTAGCCACAGGACAGAAAGGCTACAGATTGCCAGCTTGCATTTCCCAAAAGCCAACATACTTTAGTGTCAGGCTGTTGATCCCTTTCCCAAGCGCGAGCATCCCCGTTACAGGACTTGGTTTCGTGTCCAGTTTGAGCACTGAGCAGAGCAGACCTGTAGATAGCAGCAGTGCTCTAGTGCTTGCTGCTCAGCCCGAAGCGCTGCTGAGCACAAAGCACCCCCAAAAGAAACAGCAGAATAAGGTGCCTTTTTGAAAATCAGTGGATAGTTTGGTTTTCTTCTCCTCACATCTGTCAGTCATCGTAAACCAAAGTGTGATTTAATTAAAAAAAAGCCTTGAAGTCTTGCTTGAATAACTGCCCCATCTCATGAAAAAAAAAACGAACAACAAACACCAAACCCTATTGTTTTAACTTCAGGTCATGAATAAACAGAAGGAGAACTACGGCCATCAAAATGGGAAGGGGAAGGCCAATAATGATTGACAAGTATGTAATTATGCATTGTCTTCTGTGTCACGCTAGGTTATTACAGAATGCTGTAATTACCAGCAGACTTTAAACTCCACTAAATGCTTTACATTGCAGCCTCCAGGTCTCTCAGACTAGCAGGTGCTTTCTTTTAGGACAGTGCATTTAGAGATGATGTGCCTGTGTTTGGGAAGAAATTATGGGATTGCTAGGCAAGGTTATATCGCAAGTGTCCTGCAAGTGGTCAGGTCCCAGGATAATGATGGTTCTTCCAGGTTTTCAAGTTTTTACAGCGCAATTGCTTAAAACTATTTGAAAGTTTTAATTTTTTCAGATAGGTGTAATTTTTTACTTGAGTTTCCAGGCATATTAATGTAATAAAGGAGAATTTGGCTTAGATAGCTGTGCAACTAATAAAGCTAGTAAAGAGACATGATTGCTGCAAAAGTGTAATTAAATAACTCCAGTTACTTGACAGAACTTGGCAGGAAAGAATTGAAACTTTAATTTCTTTCCTTTTACCATTTCACCTCACCCTCTAATAATCTGAATAGATTATAGATAGCTGTGAACCACCCAAACAGACCCTAAAGGGAGTGGTTTCATCCAAATGAAACTGAAAGGAACGGAAATATCACAAAGCCATTGTTAACACTATTGGGATGAGGGCCAGGTTGGGACAGAGCTGTAGCTCATTGGATGGAGTTTGGAGCTGGAGGATGGGGTTTGGAGCTGTGGGATGAGGTTCGTCACTGCACTGAGCAGCAGCGGGTGTGAGGTGACTGCAGGCGTGCTGTGATGGAGAGCCCTCAGCAGCTCCTACAGCTTCACTCTGTGGAGAGCAGGAAAGGTCAGTCTCCCCTAGAGCGGAGTAGTCACCCGCAGAGTGCAGGTTTCCTATACAACACAGAGTTGCCAATTAATTTATTCCTTTTAAGGTAATTGCATCTGACAATTCTGCAGGGTCCAAGACATCTAATCCCTATTACACTTGGGTATGATCCCCGGGGATACCGTGAAACCCACTAAAACAACTACAGAAATCCTTCCACTGTGTTCACACTAGTATCATCTTCTGCGATTAACCTGATTCTTCTGATTCTTCCCTTCTGAATGTGTCATAAGTTGTCTTGGAGTGTTTATTGAAAACAATTTTTTTGTTGGAAAACACTTGACATACTGGATATCAGCATAGTGATAAGTTTTCTTTGCAGATTTTGAGGCGCCTGAGGCATGTTTATTTAATGTGTTCCCAATTTCCGTTTTCAAAACATGCCAGCTAACCCTATGTTGTCTGCAATCTATTCAGACAGGAAACACAAAACAGAGGTGAGAAAAAGCATGTGAAATTACCCAGGTTCTTAGGGAAAAGGGGCTTGAAGACAAGTTGGGCAAAAGGAAGGGTTGTTCCACCCCCATTTTCTCCTACAGTTCGGACTGGGCAGAGCCTCTGTACCTGAAGATTGCTGTAGTTGTGTTGCTGTGAAAGCTCATTCCCCAGACTTGGATTAGGACCACATCTCCACCTAGGTTTGGCAAGAGATGCAACAGCCATGTCCTCCCAAACCTTTGTAGAGTTTCCTGCCAAGTAGGATGGGCACAGCCATGTCATGTGTGAATATGATTATGTATGGGATCCCAGAGATATTTAGTTAATAATTCAGCTTTTTAAGTCTCTTAACTCTGCCCTTAGTAAAAAACTCATATTCCCCATACTCTTACAAGATGTGACTTTTGGGACCAAATATAGTTAGCATTTCTAACCACGTAACACTTTCTCCTCTTGTTTGTTCAGTTCTAGGAAATTCAGCTACCCCTTTAGGGGTAAATAAAGGAGGATTTTTTTCTGATTTGTGAACTTAAACAGGGACATGGAAATCAGTACAGGAAGTTTCCCTTGATGTTTCTTAATTTTTTCTGGTCCTTGCTTGCTGTGTACATAACCAAGAGCTGGAGCATGTATATTTTGAGATGATAGTGGGAGATTAAATGCTTCTAGTTAGAACAGCTGTGTTACTGCACGTGGTTCAGTTTTCACAGATTTAATAGTGTGGATAATGAAGTGAAGATTACGCATTCCCAGTTTCAGTTCTACAAGGAAAACTTTCTAGGAATTTTCTCAATCCACTGTTTAACGCACGCGTGTGCTTGAAGCCTTTAACATGTTATTCAGGTCTCCTCACACAGCCAAAGTCCCTTTAAAACTTCCCACCTTAAAGCAATG